AGGGCAGTTCAGACTCTGGCCCTGGCTGACTCTCTAGCGATGTGGGCACCTGGCAACCAGGCGGAGGAAGGATGGGCCGGTGATTAGGGCACTGGCCTAGGGCACCTGGGTTCGAGGCCCTGCTCTGCCACAGACTCCCTGTGTGCCTTGCACAGGCATGTAGCCTCTCGGTTCCTCAGTTCCCCCTCTGAGCCGGGGGGACGAGGGGGCGCTGCCCTGCCTCCCAGGGCTGCGTGGCTGTAAGGACATCAGGCTGCAAGTGCCCTAGACCCGCCAGGCTCCTCTCCCAGCACCCAGCGGTGTGGTTGTGTCCGGTCCAGGCCCCAGCCCCTTTCCCTCGGGCAGGGCACGTGGGGCTCCAGCGGCCCCGCTCTGAGCCCCGGTCACGGCACAAGGGCTGCGGGGGCTGTTCGCTGCGTCTGAGCCTGGGCTTCCCGTCCCCCAGGAGTGCGACAAGTCCAGCAACGACCGGCTGGAGGAGCACGAGATCGAGGAGTTCTGCACCCTGCTGATGAAGCGGCCCGAGCTGGAGGAGCTGTTCCACCGCTACTCGGGGCAGGACTTCGTGCTGTCGGCCAAGGAGCTGGGGGCCTTCCTGCAGGACCAGGGCGAGGCGGCCGACCTGGCGCACGCCCACCGGATCATTCAGACCTATGAGCTCAGCGAGAAAGGTAGGTCCCCCCGCGAGCCCCAGCGGTCAGAGCTTGGTGCTCTAGCCCCTGTTCCGCTGCAGGGCTCCCTCGGGTGCCATTGTGCCTCGTCCGACCCTGCAAAGAGCCATCCAGGAAGGAGAGGCGGATACAGTCTCTGTGGCCCTTCAGTCCTTGGGCCTGGTACCCTGCGCCATGGCGGTTGGTTCTGCACGGCCCAGTAGAAGCTGAGCTGAGAATTGACAAACTCAGCTCACAGAGGGAAGAGCCTTGGCAAGGCGGGTTTCCATGGGGGTTCCCAGCTGTGCGACACGGGGACTCCTGATGGCGCATGGTGGAGCCGCTCCCGGGTCTCAGGGCGAGTCCAAACCCCATTGCCGCTCCTGATTAACAAACGTCGGTTTTCTGTGCACACCCGAATGTCAGTGTCTGCAGGTTCTTCTGCCTCCGGGGGCAGCTGCTTAGCTCCGTTCTGCAGCCCCGACAGACGGAGCCGTGGTCTAGTGGTTATAGCAGCGGGCTGGGCATCAGGACACCTGGTTCTTTCCCGTGTCCTGGGGGGAAGCTCTGGTGGTTACAACAGGGGAACGGGCAGTCGGACTTCTGGGTTCTGTCCCTGGCTCTGCCACTGACTCGCTGCAAGACCTTGGACAAGTCAGGTCCTCGCTCCGTGCCTCAGTTTCCCCACCTGTCAGGGGGGTGGTGAGGGTTAATCCCGTCAAAGGTGCTATACAACCTGGCTGGCCTGCCCCGTGTGTGTGATGGGCTAACCCGAGCTGGGGCAAGTGGGTGCAGAAATCAGGCCTGGATTGAAGGGGAACGGTGAGGGATGGAGCAGCAGGGTCAGGAGCAGAGGCCGGTGCAATGGGCAGAAAGCCAGTGCGATGGCGGGGAGCGGGGCCTGCCCCAGAAGGCAGCTGGCATCCCCAGAGCCCAGCCTGGCAGCCCCTCCCTGAGCTGGCTGGAACTGGCCGGAGATGGTTGTGGGGTCTAACTGGTCTAGGAGGTGTGGGGCCGCAGGGGAGCCCCCTCCCAGGTGCAGCGGGTCGTAGGCTGCAGCACCGGCGCCAGGATCACCCAGCAGCATCAGAACACCTCTGGTCCCTGCTTCGCAGCCTCGGGCGTGAGTTCTTCTCTCTCTGGTACTGAGTGGCCCAAAGCAGCCCTGCCTTGGCCCAGGACACCCCGAACCTCAGGGCTGGGTCGGCTCCGCCTGGCCCCTCTGTCTGGAACGGCTGGTTCAGCTAGACAGGGCCAGGCACCAGCCCTGTGCGAACACCCCTGAACTCCGCCAGGCCTCCTCCTGGGAGCCCGTCTGGGTCCAGTGCGGCTCGGAGAGCCTGGAGGGCCGTGCTGTGCGATCACAGTGAGGAAGTGTAAGTGGGGTCCTGGGGGGGGGGGGTTCGCCTGCCCCTGCAGCATGGGGGGGGGTCACTGGCAGGATTATCCGGGTGTGTCTCACTTCATCATTCCCCTGCCATTGCACCATTGCCTGGTGCCCTCAGCTCCCGGTCTCGGCCTGTGGCACACACTAGTTCATTGACTTTGGTCTCGTTTCAGTGTGTGGGGGCTGGGAGGGCTTGGTGGCCCCTGCCCTGGTGGCCCCTCTGGCTTTACCTCTGTGCCTCTGTGACTGTGAGGAGCTGTCGTGGGCTGGGCGGGCAGGAGCGCCCATGGATGATCCAGACTGCGGGGGCTGAGATCGGGCCCGGAGGCAGCTGGACTTTCCGGGCTGGGAGCCGTTCTATGCTGCCAGGCAGAGGCTGGGAACCCTTGGGGTAACACTGCCCCTTCTCGGCCTTGTCTGCGCGGTCTCAGCCATGCACGTTGCAGCCAGCTTTACCCGACTACTAGCTAACTTGCCCGAACTCTGTGGCTGTGTAAACAGGCTGCAGCAATACACATCCCTGGTCTCCGAGCCGAACCTCCATATTTTGCATCCCAGCCCCTGCAAAAGCGCTCATAGAACCGGAGAGCCGGAGAAAAGATCTTTGTTGTGGGACAAGCTCCAGCATATCTGAGGCCTTGAGAGTCCAGTCCCTCTGCACCAATGCACACTGCGCCCTAGCCTGCCCTTGCCCTCTCCGCTGTTGGTTTGCCGTGGTGCGGCGCTCAGGGACTGACTGTGCTGGGATTTTCTCTGGATTTCCCATGTTATGAGCACGGTTGCACTGGGGCTGTAGACCCACATCTGAACCTCCTCTGAGCCCAGGGGAGTTTAGACCCAGGGTTTTGCTGCAGCCCATGACACAGCTGGGGCCAGTCACGCAATAGGGCTAGAACTGAGGGAGATTCCAGTGGCCCAACTGTGCTGTAGTTTACCGGGGGGGGGGGGCAAATCAGGGGTAATTCCACTGTGGTCAGCGGAGCCACATCCGCGGGTAAGGGAACTCTGCTGAGGTTTTGCATGTGGTTTGGCAGCGCTTCGTTACGCTAATCGTAGCTGAAGCAATCCCAGAAGCCCCACTCCAGCATTCCCTGATTGTGTCTCTCGCATCTTTCCTGTTCCTCTCAGACCGAGTGTGCTCCCCGCTGGCACAGGGTGCCTCACTTCCTGTCCTGACCCCTGAATGCCCCCGGACTCCACCCTCGCCAGCTGGGCTAACTCAGGCTGCGTCTGACCCTGCCCAGGGCGATTGGTAAACAATTGTGTCTAGGACGGCTGATGAGCAATAAGGAAAAGGAAACCAAGTGGCCTGAGGCGGGGGTGGTGAAGGGCCTGGGGGCTGCCTCGGGGAGCTGGCACGTAGACAATCTCAGCCTAGATTTGTAAAACTCTCCAGTGGCTCCATTGCTGCTAACTCGAGATCCAGACGCCAGCCATGGCTGGGGCAGAGGACTCTGGGGCTGTGCCTCCTTGGGGTAGATGCTGATCCGGACACTAGAAACGCATAGACAGCTGGACAAATTGAGGCCCCATGACAGAGCTCTCAGCGAATGCACGGCTGACAGAAATCACCCCCCAGCCTGTGCCTGATCTCAACCCCAGCACTTTTCACTGCTTCCTAGTCTACTCCCCATGGGAGGGACATGGCGCCAGAGTGTGCGCGAGAGGGGAATGCGATACAGCTGGGCAAACTGAGGCACAGAGTGGGCGAGGGGACATGTCCAAGGCCGCACAGTGAGACTGCAGCAGAACCAGAGAGAACCCAGGTCCTAGTGCCAAGCTCTGGCTGGTACAGACACACCCCCTCATGGAGCTGGGCACAGGGCCTGGGATTCCTGCCACCCCAGCCCCTACTTTAGCGCCCAGAATCCCTGTCCCAGCCAGGGTCGAATCAGGACTCCCAGGCTCTAACCCCTGAGGGTTCCAAATTGGGGTGAGAGGCTTCGACAGCCTGAAATTCCCGGCATGGACACGTTGCCCTGTGCGGACACTAGGCCCAAAATCTGGGGCGGAGCCTTTAAAGAGCCCCTGGAAATGTGGTCCCTGCAGCCAAGCAGCATGACCGCATGATGCTGGATGGGTTCATGATGTACCTGCTGTCTGCGGCTGGTGACATCCTGAACCAGGAGCACGCCAACGTCTACCAGGACATGAGCCAGCCCCTCTGCCATTACTTCATCTCCACCTCCCACAACACCTACCTGACCGACAATCAGATCGGGGGGGCCAGCAGCACAGAAGCCTACATCAGGTAAGGGGGCTGGGCAGAACATGGGGAACTGGCAGGGTCGGGGGGTATCGAGACCCATCTGGAGGGAGGTGTGCCAGCATGGGGGTCATCTTTGCCATGGCAGAGAGGTGGCCTAGACTAGAGCATAGGCCTGGTCCTGCTGAAGCAGAGCAGCACTGGTGGCCAACAGCCATGCTGGGCGCTTCCCCAAAAGGGATAAGTCTCTGACTGTCTGACAATATTCATCTGCAGGAATTCCTGCCTGACCCCAGCCAGGGATCAGCCTGTGCCCTGAAGCATGAGGGCTAAGAGGTCTTGTCACTTTTATCCCAGCAAGTGCTGCTTGCTGCAGATTCTTTTTTTCCATTGATTTTGGTGTCTATGGGGCCTGTGTCCTGAATGCAGCATAATAGGAGGCTTGTCAGAGAGCACAGCTCTGTGGGGCTCCCCCTGCAGGTGACTCCGGGGTGGATATCCGCCTGTCAAACCCCCAGTGGAGGGGAGCAGTGCAACAGGGGCAGAGGGAACTGTAACCCTGAGGCTGCAGGAGCAGCTGCTGGTTGATTTTGGGCACAATGGGGAGGGCTCCCTGTGTCCCTCCTGCACCAGCCCTGGTATTAGGAGATGAGGGTTTGGCACAAAGTGATTTACTCCACTAACATCCTGCAGCAGTGAGTTCCACAGGGTAACTGTCTCTCTCTTTCTCTCTCCCCCTCCACCTGCACCTGCACCTCATAGAATATCAGGGTTGGAAGGGACCTCAGGAGGTCATCTAGTCCAATCCCCTGCTCAAAGCAGGACCAATCCCCAGACAGATTTTTACCCCAGTTCCCTAAGTGGCCCCCTCAAGGATTGAACTCACAACCCTGGGTTTAGCAGGCCAATGCTCAAACCACTGAGCTATCCCTCCCCCCTGACATGCTCCAGTGAGACCCCACTCTCACTTTCTGGCAATGGCCAAGCCCCACACTGTGCTACAAGTTCTACCCTCCCCGTGCCAGGGTTTGCCTTTGTTCTTACCCCTAAGACAAATCCCTGAAGCAGGGCTGTGCTCCCTCCTGAGCTAGCTCTTTTTCCTGGCAGGCCCTTCCTCTAGCTGTCCCGTGCTGAACTGGAGCTAAATGAGACCCACCTGATCTGGCAGGCAGGGTGAGTCAGCAGAATAGCTCTGTACCTCCCATAGGCTTCTAAAACTCCTTGCCCAGTTCCATCTCCCCTTAGCCTTAAGCAAGCCAAGCCCACCCTCCCAGTGCTTTGCCTTTCCGCTGCCCACTTGGAGCCTGTCATACAGGACCTGTTTGCAAAGCACCTCGCCATATCCAGGCCCTACTCAGACTGCTTCGAGCTGTGTCCTACACCAGGCTCCCGGCAGGGTAAAGCAGGATGTCGATGGAGGATCAGGCCCCTCACTAGCTCAGCGTTAACAGCCAAACTCGGGGGGGGGAGCCATTCTCCGGGAGAGCATCATGACCACAGGGCAGGGGCCAGGCCAGGACTGCCTGGGGAGGCTCAGGGCCCAGCTGCGCTGGAGTCTCTGGACTCGTCCTAAGGACACGAGGTGGCAGTTTGCTGTGCCAGCCCCTGGCTGAACTGTGCCATCCCCGTCAGGGCGTTCATGGAGGGCTGCCGCTGCGTGGAGCTGGACTGCTGGGAGGGCTCCAACGGGGAGCCCATCATCTACCATGGCCACACTCTGACCTCCAAGATCCTCTTCAGGGACGTCATCGAGATCATCCGGGACTACGCCTTCAAGGTGAGCGCCGTGGCGGGCTGGTGGAGGGCACAGGGCCCAGCTCTGCCACAGCAGGAGGGGACTGGAGTTTGCACCAATGTGCTTCTTGCCTCTCCGTCCGCAGCTGCCTGGTTACCACCAGCCGTGGAGCTGAACCCTGCTCCCACCACACGAGTGGGAGTTTTGCCTCTGACATCAGTAGGGCCAGAGCTCGGCCCGTGGGATCCCACGCTTAGCTCATAGCAGGGGGCTGGTGTCAGTCTGTGGACCCTGCCTAGGCTGGTCTGCCTGGAAGGGGGCGGGGCCCAGTCCCACGCGGCACTGTCCCTAACCCCCACTCCATCTCCCCAGCACTCCTCGTACCCCGTGATCCTGTCCCTGGAGAATCACTGTGGGCCGGAGCAGCAGGTGACCATGGTTCGGCACATGAAGGCCATCTTGGGGGACATGCTGCTGACCCAGACGCTGGATGGGCAGGTCCCCAAGGAGCTCCCGTCACCAGAGGTAACACCCCTGGTAATTCCCGTGGGAGCGGGAGGGATCCCCGGGCAACACTCCCATGGACTCCTGCAGGGGGGATGCTCAGAGCGGGGACCCAGAGCCCCAAGCTCCATGCTTTCATTACATGGACATCCCTGGGCGCTGCCTTCCTCCATCCCCTGCCCCCTGGGCTCCTTGGACCGCACGGTGGGGCAGCCAGCCCTGGGAAGGGAAGGCATTGGGCAGGGGGCAGAGCTCTGACATGGGCTGTCTTCTCCTGCAGCAACTGAAAGGGAAGATCCTGGTGAAAGGGAAGAAGCTGCCAGACCTGGTGTGTGACCCCGAAAACATGAGCTTCCTCTCCGACAACCCCGAGGAGGAGGAGGAGGAGGAGGAGGAAGAGGAGAGGGTGCTGCGGAGAGAGCGCAGGAGGGTAAGGGGGTAACGTGGACCAGCCCCTCGTGGGACTGTGGGGTCCCAGAACTCGGGGCTGGCCCCCAAGTGTTGCGGATTGTGCTGCTGCACCAGGCAGGCACCCGCCATCCGTCCCTAGGGCACAGAGAGATCGGGTGTGGCACTGAAGCCAAAGCTTTGGTGCGTGACCCCAGCTCAGCTGGAACCTGGGGGGCGACAGCCCCCTGGGACGGGCTGGCAGCACCCCTGAGATCTCAAAGCCACCATGAAAAGGGTACAGGGGGGCTTGCAGCCAGTTCGCTGCCTTCTCCCCGGCCTCAGTGTTGGGATAGACACCACGTTCGCTGCCTCTCGGTGGGGATCTCTCTCCCTCTCCCTCACCCACCTACTCCCAAGAAAGCTGCCCTGTGTGTAGCTGCCCCTGCCCCATGGCCGGATGTCCAGAAAATTCCCTTTCAGGAGAACCGCAGGAAGGTTTCAGCTGCCTGCCTGCCTGCCTGGCTCTTGTCAATTGTGCTGGTTCCCTGCTGGCAGAAAGTGAAATTGACAGGCGCTGACCAGGGGCTGCCCCATTCTCAGACCACATCTCCACTACAGAGTCTGGGCAGGCCTAGGCCCCTCGTGCAGACAGAGGGAGGGAGGAGTTCTGCCTGGGCAGAAAATTTCCGTTTTGTGGAAAGGGGATTTTCTGTTGGAAATTCATTCTGGTGGAAACTCCCCGACTGGCTCTCCTCAGGACAGACGAGCCGGAGCGGCTGTGAACTGTTCTGAGCCTCGGGGGCTGCCCGGCTGCCCTGTCCCAGATCAGTCCCTTCCGGCCAGCTCTGTGCATGAACAACTGCTCTGGAATAGCCTCCTGTCCCAGTCTTACTCCCCGACCCGTCGCAGGGCGTCAATCACCTGGGCTGGCGCAGGATCCAACTTCCTGGGCTTTGGAAAGCCCTCGTAGGCGCGAAGGAATAAGCTCCCGCTCCCTGCAGGGAGAGGCGGCTGCTTTCCCTACTGATTGTAGGATCTGCTGTCTGCAGGGAGCAATGCCGGTTACTCACCTTTGTTCCTGTGGCTTTGGGCTGAATCTACGTTCCCAGGAAGTGGTGGTAGATGGGGCTTTTCCCGCAGAGCCCCCGCTGGCACAATGCCTTGGGCGAGTGCCAGGGGGCGCTGTGCTGCTGTCTTCGGCTCAGACAGAAACCCCAGGTGCTAGCACGTAGGGCCATGAAAGGTGCCATGGGGTTTTCCGGTTCGGGGGCTTAATGGCCTGGCCAGGCCACACCCTCCTGCTGGTTCATCTGGAGTCTGTTGCTCCCTGTCCCACTGCTGGGCCGGGTTGCTGAGCGCGGTGCACCGCAGGGGTGGGTGGCCTGGCTGCTGTCTGGGGAGGGTCTGTAAAGGTGGGGGCTGCGGTGCAGGCTGGCTGGGGAGAAGGGAGCTCATGGAGCCGGGGCAGTTGTTGGCCGGGGGCTGTGGACTCGGCCGGGCCAGGAGCTGGTGGAGGGAATCCCAGGGCTGGCGACCAGTGGCTGTGAGGGCAGCGGCAAAGCATGCAGTATTCCCATCCCACTGCCTCGGGCAGGGCCGGAGACCGCTGCTTTCTGCTCCCCCCACTCCTGAAACGACACTTTCTGTTCTCTTCCAGTCGTCCCATTCGCTGCAGGAGATCAGGCCGCCCCAGGTGAGTGCTCCCGGCAGGTCTCTGGGTGGGACAGTAGGACTGACCCCGTCCCCTCTTGCACCGCACTGCATGTCTGAACAGGGCTGCCCCCTGGGCCCAGGTTGGGGTGGGGTTGGCGCGTCTTAGGGCCGGTGCTCTGTTGCTGTCCTGGCCGGGTGGCTGGCCCCATGGCCAGGCCTGAGCTGGCGTCTCTCAGGACTGAGGGCTGCCGACTCCTAGCTGAGCCCCTCCTGCCTCCCCCTCCCCCAGGAGACTCACCCCTAGCGGGCCCCAGTCCTCTGCCCGCTGCTGCCATGGGTCCCTGGGCCCCGTCGCCTGGCACGAGGGCCACTCTCGGTGCTCACTGGGGTTTCTCTCGGAGGGCCCTGGCCTGGGAGGTGCTCAGCTCCCTGCGCTCACGTGGACGCTGAGGGGAGTTGGGTGCCCAGCACCTGCAGCGGGATGTTGGGTGGGGGGTGTAGCACCAGCAGGACACAGTCGAGGGCTCAGCAAAGCCCCCGAGGTGCTGAAAGGTCCCAGCTGAGGGCTGCTGGCGGGACGTCCTGGGGAGAGCGGCTGCAGCAGCGACCCCATCGCTGTGTGTGCTCCCGGCAGGCGAAGGACGCCGCGCAGCTCTCCCAGGAGCTCTCCGACCTGGTGGTGTACTGCCAGGCCGTCCCCTTCCAGAGCCTGGAGCAGGCCCTCAGGAGCCAGCAGCCCGGGCAGATGTCCTCCTTCAGCGAGAGGAAGGCCAGGAAGCTCATCAAGGAGTCAGGTAAGGTTGAGGGAGGGGCAGGCAGGCTGGGCTGCACTGGGTCGCACTGGGTCACACTGGGCTGGCCTGGATCCTCGTGGTGTTCTGCCGTGGGCCAGGCTGGGCTCCGTGGGCCAGGCTGGCCTGGGTCAGACTGGGATCCAGTGCATTAGATGGGGTGGATTGCACTGAGCTGAAATAGGAGCTCAGACACTAGATCGGAGGGAGCTGGGTTAGACCGGCTCTGGTTGCGGTGAGCTGGGGTCAGGCAGGCCTGGGACCCATGGACCCAGCAGGCTTCCTGCGGTCTGAGCACGGAGCCGACCTGCTGCAGTAGTGGGGAGCTCTCCTCTTCCCTGGATGCTTTTCATCCCTCTGCTCTGAGCTGTGCTGGGGAGGGGGAGGGGACCCTGCAGTGACCCGTCCGGGGCACTGGCCTGGCCCAGCACTGCAGCTAGCAGCCGAGATGTTCCAAAAGGGCCGGAGGGCTCGGGCTCAGCATTTCCTGAAAACTGGCCGCCTGATTGTTAAGGGCATCTGTGTCAGGTGCTGTACAGACACAGGGCCCAGACGATCCCTGCCCCAAGGAGCTCCTGCTCGCAGCTGCACAATCTCAGGTGTCTTCTGTTGGGCTCCCAAGATCACTGGTCTCTTGACCTGGCCAGCAGCCCCAGCTGGGCGATACGGGCTCACTCTGCCTGGCTCTGGTAGTCCAGGGAGGAGCTGACCCGCACTCCCAGCCCCGCTAACAGGCAGCTGCTTTCCCCTGCTGCAGGGAACGGCCTGGTCCGGTACAACGCCCGGCACCTGAGCCGCATCTACCCCTTGGGGCTGAAGATGAACTCTTCAAACTACAACCCCCAAGAGATGTGGAACGCCGGCTGCCAGCTAGGTGAGAAGCCCCCCCCATGCCTCAGTTTCCCCATCTGTAGCACGGGAATAATGATACTGGCCTCCTTTGTGCTGTGCAGAGAGGGGAGGGACCCGAAAAGGCCATAGTGAGGGTTACTGGGGAGGGGGCTGAATGGGGCACCAGGCACAGCCCCTCACGGGAAGGAGTTGGGATGGGTGTTAAGGGAAGGGTGCCACCTGCTGGTTCTCATGGAACCTTCCTGGCCAGTGTCCCTGAGGGCCTAGCCAGGGCATGGCCCCGTGACTGTCTGCAATCCAGGACAAGGGCTCTGCTCCATGTCACCCTCCCGTCCTGTGGGCGCAGATCCAGCCCTCCAGCCCAAGGGGACTCACGGGAGAGCTGCTAGGCCTGGGGCACCGACATGGGCCCTGCCGTGAGCCGCAGCAGCCGCCCCCCAAAGGCCACGCGGCGACAGGCTGTGCTCATCCCACGCGGGGTGACTGGAGCTCTCGCACGGGGCGGGTCACACAGCCCCTGTGAGCAGTGATGGGCGGGCAGGGGGCCCCGAGGGAAACCTCTGGGCCCAGAATGGCCTCCTGGCTCCAGGCCAGTATGTCGGCTCCCCCTTCCCCTCCCCCTCCCCAGCACCTCCAGCCCCCACCCGTGTACATGGCTCCCCTGGA